AAAATGATAAACCCTTGAGCTGTTCCAACTCACCCACCCTCTGCCTTGCCATCAGCTTCTCTACTCTGATCTTCCAAGGAGGGTCTGGCTTGGACCGACTTTTTTAGGGTATGCTTTCATGAAGCAGAATCTGAGGTGAGTCAGAGCGCGAGAAGGGCTGCAGGTGCCTGAACACAGACACACCTGGGAAAGTGAGGCATTCAGCGAGGCTCAGGGAAAGACCCCATTGCTGGGCCCTGTGGCCTCTTCACAGCAGCAGAAAACTGAAATAAAGACTTGTGCAGTGTTTCTCAGACAGCAACACCATCCTGGGACTGCCTCGCATGGCTCCCAGCCCTGCACACCCTCTGCTGCTAGTATGGATGGGGCAGGAGTGCCCTAGAGGAAGGCACGCTCTGCAAAGCTGGGGGTGGGGGAATTGTTGATCGAAGAAAAGGAGAGAAACTCAATACATAGCCTTGAGGAGCAGATATAACAGCACAGAAAGCTGGCGTACCAATTACAAATGGCATGATGCTGTCCTGAGTTTTCCAAGCTGCAAGCACGGTGTGGTAGTCCCAGTCACTGGCACAAAGCTCCCCGTTCACTGTTGAGGCACTGTAGGGTCCCGCGTTCATTTCCTGAGACAGCTGCAATAAAAATACCCCAGACTGAGGGGCTTAAACAGCAGACATTTACCCTCCCACAGTTCTGGAGGGGAGAAGTCCAAAATTAAGGTGTTTGCAAATCCACGCTCCTGGGAGGACTCTTCCTGCCCCCGCAGCTCCTGATGTTCTCTGGCTCCCAGCTGCGTCACTCCACGCTCTGCCTCCATCATCACGTGGCCTTCTCCCTGGGTGTTTCCTATCTATGAAAATTACGTTCTTAGAGGACCGAAGTCATTAGATTTAGTGCACACCCTAATTCAGTATGACCTAATCTCCACTTGATTACATCTGCAAAGAACCTGTTTCCAAATAAGATCACATTCACAGACAGCAGGGGTTAGGACTTCCACACATTTTTTTTGGGTAACCTTCCATGTCCCCTGCCTTTATCACTTCTGTAAACTCTGCCCTGACATCTGACCACCAGCAGCTGCGCTTCTTTGCTCGAGAGCTTTCTGCTGCTGCTGGAATTCACACTATCACCCATTCCAGGTAATTGGCACCATCAATTCTCCACCCAAGGAGTGCCCAACCATGACTGACAGCTGTTGGTATATAAATCCCAAGGCCCCTTTGGGTGGGAGGACTAAAAAAATAATACCCCCAATTTTCAACATTTGCTCATATTTGGCAACGAGCTAAAAGTGGGAGGTGGACTGATTAGCCGGTCAGAGGATCTGGGTGGAATGTCAGTGCTGCCTCTTATCAGCTGTGCGACCTTGGGAAAGTTCATTCATTCATTCAACAAATAAATATTGGTAGGGTGTGCCAGGCAATATCCAGGATATGAAGGAGTCATTGATGAGCAAAAACACACAGTTCAGGCCTTCTTGGCGCTTACAGACTAGAGAGAGGGAAAGATAAAGAGTCACACAGATACACATACCACGATGATAGAGGCTCTGAAAAGAACAACGTGGTATGAAAGAAGAAACTGGAGCACCAGGCCAGGTGTGTGAGCAGAGCTCTCTGAGGACATGATGTCTGAGCAGAGATGGACGTACCTGGAGGTGTTTGCCAGGTGAGGGAGCAGTGCGGTGGGAGGATGGCATTTCCGCCAAAAGCAACGGCACAGGCAAAGGTCCTGGGGTGGAAGGGAGGCCAGCACATCTCAGAAACTGCACGCAGAGCATTATTTACTCTCCTGTTGAGAAATGAAAGAATATATACAAAACGCCCACCTTTCAGGTTACTGGGAAAATCGAACAAAATATGGCACAGTAAAGTGCCTATGAAACATCCTTCTTTCCAGCCTTGGGAAAACCTCGCAGGGGTCTGAAGCTTCTCATCCTGGCAGCGGGGCAAGGGTGAGTGGGAATTTATACCGTCCCCAACGCGACTACTTCATGCTGCCTCTTTATTTGTATGCAGGTCATGTGCCTCTTATGTATCATTTCTTGGGGCATCGTTTGCTTTAGTTTTGAGAATTGGGAGTAAATTATGCAGGCTTCCTGCCAGGCCTTCTAGCAAAGTTGTCCTCTGGGTTTGGGGACTTGCCCGAATCTGGGGCTTTACTTACACAACGCTGCCCTCTGCTGGCCACTGATGGAGGTCTGGGCACTGCTCTTGAGCAGGGCAGGACACAGTACCATGTGGGTAGCCTTCATCCCAGCTTTTGCTCTGTTTCCGGGTGGAGATGGGGCTTCCACTCACATTGAACAGTCAATGGACTTCCCTTCCTCTCTTCTCCATTATTCCTTTCACCCAATAAATGAGTGTTTAAGCTCCACCCTAAGCACGGCACGTTCATAATCTTACTGCAATCTGCACACAAACTTGGAGATAATTACTGCTATTCCTTTCTCAGAAATGAGAGTGGTCAGATGACTTTCCCAAGATCATGAGCAGTGAAGCTGGAAAGCAGGGCTGCCTTCAGGTGCCTGTGACCTAGGCACAGGGCCCTGTGCTCAGTTTAATGCTCTGCTGTTGACATCTTGAAATTCTTAATAGTTTTTGAACACAATACCTTGCATTTCTTGGCCAGGCATGGTGGCTCCTGCCTGTAATCCCAGCACTTTGGGAGTCCGAGGCGGGCAGATCACGAGGTCAGGAAATTGAGACCAGCCTGGCCAGCATGGTGAAACCCCCATCTCTACTAAAACTACAAAAATTAGCTGGGCATGGTGGCAGCTGCCTGTAATTCCCAGCTACTCGGGAGGCTGAGGCAGGAGAATTGTTTGAACCCAGGAGGCTGAGGTTGCATGATCGCGCCACTGCACTCCAGCCTGGGCTACAGAGTAAGACTCGGTCTCAAAATAAACAGACAAACAAACAAATAAGCAAACAAACCAACTAATCATGCATTTCCATTTTGCACGGGGCCCGGCACATTATGTGTCCGTGCTGCTGTTAGAGCTGTGGGTTCTAACCAGACTGCCTTCACTCCAACCCCAGTGCTTTCCTACCTCCTCTGGGCTCTTTCTAAAAGGCACACCTGGCAGCTCAACATTTAACTCCCAAGATGGCGCTCCATTACCTACAGGATCATGCAGCTTATTTCTTAACGCAGGGATTCTTACCCTGGCTGGACACCCAGGGGACGGAGGGCTTTGGAAAAGTACTAATGCTTTGGGCATGTTGCCCAGAATGCTGTGGGTGGGCCCTGGCATTGCTGTGTATCAAAGCTTTCCAGGTGATTCTAATGAGAAGACTACAGCACTATTGGTGTAGGGCCTGGCATTGTTCCTGACGTTCATTGGGTGTTTAATAAATGTTTTCCAACTTTTTAGAGAAACGAATTGACTGGAAGGCTCATGCTGAGAATTAAACTGAGTCGTGAATAAGAAGATTTAACTTTGGGTTCCATGTTTGCATCAGACTAGGAGCTCAGAGTTTGCCAGGTAATTGGGGAAGCTACCCGGGGCTGGTTGGAGAGGGAGAAAGAGTGGGAAAGACTTGGAAATTAGGTGCACCTTCCTGAATATTTGGACCTTGGTAAGGCTTAAATTTACTTTGCCTGGAAATAGCACCTGATCCCACTGAGGTAACTCCTCTCCCCCATCCTCAACTCCAGTTCTGTGATGAGTGGGTTAATCCCATGTCTGGTCTCAGTGTAGGGTGCTGACCCAGGCCTGGACAATCAGATTATTCCATTCCTCTCGGCTGGCTTCCGTGCTTGGCTCAGAGATAAGCGTATACCCCAAACCAGACTTATGATAGGCAACCTTGGGACACTGGCAGGAACTTTGGCCCAGAGAAGCTGTTGTTCTCCAGGGGCTGGGGCCTGAGGGGTTTCAGTGCAACTGGGGCTTGTGGCAATCTTGAGGGACTATGTTAACCTCTCTTCCTGGGTCCACAAGGGGCGTGGTTTCAAAAGCAAGAACTTCCCAGCGCCATGCCTCCATTCACCTCCCCATCTGGGAACCTAGAGTTCTTTGTCTAACTTTCTCATGCGTGGGCTAGCTAAAATTTCAGGTGTGCTCCTTTGGTTAAAAAGAGGCCAAAAGCCCTGGAAGGAGGGGCTCTGCTGTGGGCCCAAGCAACCAATCTAGGATCAGAGTCAAAGATCAGTCACTCCAGAGGAAGTTTGAAAGAACTCCTCTCACTGGACAAGAACATGAATGGGGCGGGAATAACTTCAAAGTTAAAACTCCACTGCACCTTACCTGTGGGGATTTCCCTCTCTGGGATCCCCTCCCACAACAGCGTGGGAGCTGCTCTCTCTACTTCTCTCTCTTTCTCTGCCTAATAAATCGCTCTCTACAAAACTCTTTGGGTCCGTGATATTTATACGAACGGTAAGCCCACTGCACCTCCAGGGCCTCTTCCCCCATTCCTGGGGAAGGGGAGGCCAAGAACCCGGGACACCCGGTTACAATCTTACCGTGGTGGCAAAGGCATCATACAGGATGGTGGAGTTGACTGGCAGCAGCCATTCCTGATGAATTTGACCAACTGGATTCAGCAATGTCTGAATTTACCCCAAGCTCCTGCTTCCAAGTGTCAAGAAATGCCATTTCTTGCGTCAGTACCTTGCGGTTGATTACTGGTCACTTGCAGCTGAAAGCAAGCAATAAGGAATGTAAATACCCCGAACAAAATTCCCTGTCCCTTGGTTCCTTAATCACCCTACAGGGGATTTGCAGGGAGCCGAATATTCAGTCTGGAGAGATGCATTCAGGGAACAAACGGGGCTGGTACCTGCGTCAAAGTCTTGCCTTCAGCGAAGATGGCAACCTGACATCTTTCTCCCCCGCAGTGCAACAGCAGACCTTTGATACTGACTCTATGAGGTCCATTTTTTTTTCTTTTTTGTCTGATCACAGCTTTCCAGGATACGCATCTATCCAATGGTCAAGTGTCTGCTGAGTATCTACTTTGTGCGGGCACTGTGCTGGTACAGGACTTGTGAAGATGACTGTGTTTTCAGGTCAGCCCAGAAAAGGCAGTGCAGTCCAGTAGACAATTTTCAGAATCGTAGCTGCAGAGGATGGAGCATTCTATTTATTCAATTATTACTTTATGTAAGCAGTTGCGAGAATATTTAAACCCAGTGCACACTTCAATAAACAGATACGTGCTTTCCAGGGCAGCTGCCGAAGACGGCGGAGGGACAGGTCCTGGTGCTGGATGGTCACGGCCAACTCCTGGGCCGCCTGGCGGTTATCGTGGCTAAGTAGGTACTGCTGGGCCGGAAGGTGTTGGTCGTACGCTGTGAAGGCATCAACCTTTCTGGCAATTTCTACAGAAACAAGTTGAAGTACCTGGCTTTCCTCTGCAAGCCGGTGAACACAAACTCTTCGAGAGGCCCCTGCCACTTCCGGGATCCCACCACTTCCGGGCATCTCGCCACTTCCGGGCTCCCAGCCGCATCTTCCGGTGGACCGTGCGAGGCATGCTGCCCCACAACATCAAGCAAGGCCACGGTGTTCTGGACCGCCTCGAGGCGTTTGACGGCATCCCACCGCCCTACAAGAAAAAGCGGATGGTGATTCCTGCCACCCTCAAGGTTGTACGTCTGAATCCTACAAAAAAATTTGCCTATCTGGGGCGCCTGGCTCACGAGGTTGGCTGGAAGTACCAGGCAGTGACAGCCACCCTGGAGGAGAAGAGGAAGGAGAAAGCCAAGATCCACTACCGGAAGAAGAAACAGCTCATGAGGCCGAGAAGAACCTGGAGAAGAAAACTGACAAATACACAGAGGTCCTCAAGACCCACGGACTCCCGGTCTGAGCGCGATAAAGACTGTTAATTCCTCCAAGAAAATAAAAAATAAAAACAGATACGTAGTAGGTAGCCAAATTTTACCACACTAGTCGTGAGACAGAACTGACAAAAAAGAAACGTGCCATAATTTTTTTGAGACTTTTTTATTTTTTTGAGACAGGAGCTCACTCTGTTGCTCAGTCTGGAGTGCAGTGGCATGATCTTGGCTCACTGCAACCTCTGCCTCCTGGGTTCAACTGATTCTCCCACCTCAGCCTCCCAAGTAGCTGAGATTATGCAGGCATGCACCACTACACCTGACTAATTTTTGTATTTTTTGGTAAAGACGGGATTTCACCTTGTTGGGCAGGCTGGTCTTGAACTCCCGACCTCAAGTGATCCACCTGCCTCCCAAAATACTGGGATTATGGGCATGGGCCACCGCATCCAGCTGGTGCAATAATTTTTGAAACAAATTTTGGCTGTTGGTGTTATTGGCAGGGAAAGATGAATATTTCCACAAGGAATTTGATGACAATGCTGGCTTCTTAAAGGGCTTTCAATGTGGATAACACAGGTTCTTTGAGGACACTTTGCTTTGGAGACATTGGCCCATCTCGGGGTGCCTGGAGCCCTCTTCTCCTGGCAGTCTCTTGTGATCTGTGCCATGCCAGATCCCCTGAGTCAGAGATAGCAGAAGGCAAGCAGAGTCACACGTTAGTAGTTGACTTTAGGTGGTATTCAGGTGTTCACTGCAGGAATTCTTTTAGCTTTGTTGAATGTTTAAAATTTTTCATAATAAAATGTTGGAAAAAAAAAAGAACTTGGTTCAAATTTATTCCCCTCCTTTTTTTTTTTTTTGCAATTTTCTGTTTTTCTTTAGCTTCTCTTTGATTACTCAAGTTGCCAGCCCCAGAGCAATTACTTTCTGCAAACAAGTTCTCAGAAGGCTCAGATGAATTTTGGACCTAATTTAATTCCCAATTTACTTGCTTATGGAAAAAAAAAGGCTTAGTTTCTTCGCACCACATCAACCCTTGGTGTACCAGTTTTGATTTCTTTTAAAAAGCTGGCTATAAGATGCCAAGCCAGGCAGCATGAGATAGTCCCAATGAATTAATGAAAACTGGGGGAAAAAGGGGTGTTCAGAGCTTGCAGGACAATAGCAAAACCCATACACAGACAAAGGAAGCCTCAGAGGGGACAAGCACTCCAAGATAAAGGGAGAGCGTGGATGGTGCCTATGATAAGGTGCAGAGAGGAGCGAGCTGCTCCGATGGGCAAGGATGAATGAGGCCAGTCAGAACCTCTCTCTGTATCAAACACCTGGATGGTGGTTCCAGGCACAGGGTTGGTAAAACAGGTACAGATTTGTCCTTTGATTTGCAGCCTCCCCAGAAGATATGCTGACATCCTCACCCTCGGTATGTGTGAATGTGACCTTATTTGGAACTAGGGTCTTTGCAGAAAATAACTAGTTAAGATGAGGTCATCATGGATTGGGTGTGCTTTAATCCAATGACTGGGGTCCTTATAAGAAGAGGTTAACTTGGACACAGACACACCGAGAGGAGAACAGAATGTGAAGACACGCCGACATGTGGAGGGAAGAAGGCCATGTGATGATGGACACGGAGATGGGAGTGATGCGGCTGCCAGCCACGGGCTGCGGGGAACCACCAGGGCCACCAGGAACCATTAGGAGCTACCAGGACCTGGACGAGGCAAGAAAGGCACCCCCCCACCCCCAGAGCCCCATGAGGAACAGGGCCCTGCCCACCCATTGATATTGGATTTCTGGCCTCCAGACCGTGAGAGAGCACATATCTGATGTTTTAAGGCCCCTGGTGTGTGGAACTTTGTTAGGGCAGCCCCAGGACAGTCACACATAGGGTAATGGTGGAGTCCCAGAGAGGTCTGCAGAGTCACTGCTTCAGGGCTTATTTTGACCTTGGTCTGCCCTTGGTGTCAACAGCCACAGTCCTCCTTGGTTGTTGCTTCTGTGTCTTGACTCTAAACAACTAATGACTTGTCTTAGAGTAGAGCACTGCGTCCGTCCATTCGCCCTCTACTCTCTTCTGCAGGCAGCCTAGAGACAACGGGGGTTCTGGGGAGCCCAGCTTAGCCTGGAGTCTAACTGTATCAACATTACTGGTAAAGAACAAAAAGCACCCGGAGGAGGTGGGTCAGCCATGGGACCTCATGCAAAGACAGCTGGGGTGCAACCATGGGCTCTCTGCCTCCTGCCTTCTGGGAGTCAGGCCCATGCAGTGGCTAGTCCCTGCCTGGGAGGTGGGTGTGTCTCCCCTGCTTTGGGAGCATGGGTTCCAAACTGCTTTCTTGGTGGAATTCAGCTTCCTGGGTAGATTGGCTAGCAGAGAGAACTCCTTCATACTTTCATTTCTCACTGAACATTAATACGTGGTCATGCTGGAGTCCAGTGAGTGGAGGAGCATGCTGTGGAACTCAGGAATGCCCCCAGGGCTGGGCCAGCCTGGGGACCTGTTTGAGTGGGTGGGCAGCCCATGCTTCCCTTGTGCCTTCCTTCCTCTTCTTGAAAATATGTCCTGGGCTCAGAGCAGATGAGGTTGTCCCCCAGCTAACCCTTAGCCAGTCAAGGTTATTCGGGGCCCCATTGCTAGTGATGGCTGTGAGGTAGGCATGTGACCAGCACTTGGCCAAACACATAGAAGGGCAGGTCTGTTGAAAGATTACAGGAAAGTGTGTCAGTGGGTGGGGCGGGGGGAGAAAAGGGAGAGAGAGAGACACAGAGAAGAGTCAAAGCCCCCCTCACACTGCCTCCCTGCCTTGAATGGGGCCTCCCCCTTGGATGTGTATCCAAGTTGGGATGGTTTTAACAAGGGAAGCAGCAAGCCTGTATCACACAGGCCTTCCCTTCCTCCCACAGGGGCAGTGGTGGGTGGCCAGGTATCCTTCAACTTTTTTTCAAGACGGGGTCTCACTATGTTGCTCAGGCTGGTTTTATTTATTTCCAAATAAGGCCATATCCACAGGTACTGGGGTTAGGCCTTCCACCAATCTTTTGAGGGGGCACAGCTAGGGTGGACAAGGAGGAAAGGTTTGGGGCAAGGATGCTGGGTTGGCCCACAGAGGCAGTGCTTACAGATACTGTGTAGCCCCAAGAAGAAAGTCACAGGCCCCACAGAGCAGCAGGCAGGGAGGGTGGACAGAAGGGGTGACAAGTCTCCCATCCACAGCACAGCCCCCTCTGGGCATCTTATGGGTGACATCACTCAATATCCTCGTGATGTAAATCATTTTTAGTCATTGCTTGCAGCTGAAAACATTCTAATGCTTTTATTATACAAATAAAATATGTAATTGTAAGTACTTGAAGCCAGTTCTTTGATTTGGGGCTAACGTATTACATGCTTTTCTTTCCACCTATAAGAAAAAGAAGTTACGCATTACTTATTTCCTTCAGGATCAATGACCCAAATGATAAATGAGAATCTTGTTCTTTTTTCAAAACAGCAAATGTGATTGCTTTTTAAGTACATGAAACTGTGCTTAAAACTCTCTGAAAGTTCAAATTAAACTGTGATTTTATAGCTATCTTTCCCATTATTAGTGATATCTTGTTATTTTCACAAGTTAAATTCTATTTAAATACATTTATGTATTACAGAATTGTCAAGTGACAGTTTAACCTGCTGAGGGAGTAGAAAAAAGTGTGCCTAGATTAAAAGAATGCACTTACACGAAAATAAAGATAAATGAACTAATAAATTACTAGTTTTTAATAAATAATCTCCATATTGAATAACTTATCCTTCTGGTAAAATATTTACTATGCTCTTTAAAACCTTTTTAATCAACCGAAACACTCAGGAAGCTTTAAATGATTGGATATCCTTTTGTGGCTTAAGAATTGAAATGATTTTTTACTGAAGTACATTTTAATAAGAGGCAAATTGATTTGAAGTGATTCAAGTCTTCATGGAGTGAGGGCTCTTCACACTCAGTTCCCTGGGCTTAGGGGTTGACTCCTCTGTTCAGAAGGTGGAAGAGGTCACACTTGGTCCTAGAGCTTGGACATTTTGGGTAATTAAGAATCAATTCCTTTTCAATTATTTTAGGACTAGTCCAGGCCCGAGACTCCCAATATGCTCCCATTTCTCTATGCAGTGCTTTCATGCATGGAAAATAATATAGAAAAATAATAAATGAGAAAGTTTATTAAAAATATGAATATCCAGCCCTTGTCCCAGATATTCTAAATCAGGATATACAAAAAGGGGTGCTGGGACCTGCATGTTCTCACTCATAAATGCAAGTTGAACAATGAGAACACATGGACACGGAGGGGAACATCACACACCAGGGCTTGTTGCGGGGTGGGCAACTAGGGGAGTGATAGCATTAGAAGAAATACCTAATGCAGATGATGGGGTGATGGATGCAGCAAATCACTATGGCACATGTATACCTATGTAACAAACCTGCATGCTCTGCACATGTACCCCAGAACTTAAAATATAATAATAAAAGAACCACTGCACTAATGAAAATGTCTCTGAGGAATAAAATATTCTTTCCATGTACGTTTTGTTGAAATCCGAGACAAAAAAAAAAAAAAAAAAAATCCATCGTCCTTAGACCAATTATGGAAAACAAGTATCCGTAGAGAACAGAAGAATGAATACTGCCAGAATATCAGGGATTTACATGCTGTTACAAACCTTTCAGGACTAAGACCAGATACAGGGTCATCTGCTGCAGGGGTTATGAAGTCCAGAAGAGAATATCAGGTTGGTTCCCAAGCAAGAAAAAGCTTAACATCTCAATGGTGTTTAACACAGCATAAAAGCAAATTACGACATCCATTTAGTTACAAGTATTTCAAAGAATTCTCACCAGTTTATTAGTCACTGTTAGGATAAAAAGGACTCTAAGTTCTGAACTTGCTGAACAGTAACTTCTTAGAAGCATTACTAGCAAATCTGGTCCACACAATTGTTCTGGAATACGAGTCAGCTTGAATAAATTCAAGATTTCTGGCAGAG